TAGGTTAAGTTCAATCATAAATTCCAACACAAAAGTCTTAGCTCAAGTTTTAAAGATGATAATAAAGGAGATTCATATTACAATACATTGCAAACATTGGAAAATAATGAAGGAATACAAAAATAGAGATACAACCCTTTTTTAGTGTAGATTTGAGTTCCTCCAATATTTTCTCCAACACTTTGATGTTTGATCTCCTTGCTATCAACTCTTCATCCCCAAAACAAGCCAAGCACATTAACTAAACTAGAGAAATAAAAGAAAAGAAGAGGAGAAAAACTAGAAAACTAATGTGAGAAGACTAAAAATAAANTCAACTCTTCATCCCCAAAACAAGCCAAGAACATTAACTAAACTAGAGAAATAAAAGAAAAGAAGAGGAGAAAAACTAGAAAACTAATTTGAGAAAACTAAAAATAAAAATATCCTAAGTTGTAGAGAGAAAAAAAATAAAAAAAAGGTCTACCCCCCAAAAAAAGGTCCCAGCCAAGTATATATAGGATAGATATTTTCCTTGCTTAGCCACAAAGTCTTCAAAATATCTAAAGAAAATTGCAACTAAAGTCCCCAAACTTTTGGAAAGTGGCAAAATGGTCCCTAAACCAAGTTTTTCAACAAAAGTGGTGTTGCAACTTTATCCTTCAGAAAGTTAAAGAATTTTCTATCATTGTACAGCTAAGTCCTCCAATATTTGCGTACTAGGTCCTTCATCTTTGACACTTGTGCACTTTGGTCCCAACTTCACATTTTTGTACATTTTTAGTCATTTTCTTCTCTTTTTCGCCTCGTTCTTCTTGACGGGGTTTTAACTTACAAAAGTGAAAATTACACAATTAAGAATAGAAATTTACTCAATTCCAATTCTAATTAATTCTAGAAAAGTGCCAAATAAGTGTGTTTTTACACACTTATCAGGCGAAACCAAAGTCCAAATCATCTCATTATATATCAAGCAAACAATCAAATGCCTAGTGGGCGTAGTTAGAGGAATAAAAACTTGAAACTTGAAAGGCCAGATGCCAAGAACTAAGAAGCAAGAAGCGAGGTAGTGTGCGCATGGATAACGAACTCATTTCGAAATTGATTCAACTTACAAAACTTTCTTCAAATCTTCAATCTATTCTTCTTCTTCGTCTTTCAATCCGTTCTTATTCTTCCTCGACTATTGGAGTTTGTAGTGGGTCCCCACTGGGCCCTTAATGGGTTCGCCCTTGAATAAGATCATCCGAACTTCCAAAATCCATGTGTTAAAGAGAACTACATTACTTATAAGTAAACTTAGCCAAACTAGCCCTTAATATACTTTATCTACTCATAATTGAACACGTATCTTTATTCAATTCATCTTCTCACAACCCAATTAGACATATCTGTACATGCATGCAACAATAACTTTATATAGTGGAGAACAGCCTTTGTACTCTAATACTAAATTAAGTTACTTTATTAACCAAAAATTGATTGCTTGGACAACAACTTTATGTTACAATTTTAATGTAGAACAATATATATAGTCACCTTGTGGTTAAATCAGAGGAGAAAGCAGAACAAAAAAGCATATAAATTTGTACTTTAGGGTTATATTTTGTATATATTACTATTCGTGGTTTTGCATGGAAGACATTACCCAAAGAGAGAATCGAATAATTCCCCCACACTCCCTTTTTGCTTTTTCATGGTTTGCTGCAATTCTCTTTACCACTCTCCAAGAAAATGCATGGTGGGTGTTGATATACCCATCTATTCTATGGTACGTCAAATTAAGCCTCCCGTTTGAGCCCCATTTTAATAAAAAAATGAATTATGTAATAGTGATTTTTTTAGAGATTGTGTTGTTAAAAAATAGGAAAAGATTTTGAATTTACGTACAAATTATTGTACTGAAAGAATGCATGATTGAAAATAAATTTTAGGAAAAATGTACTTTGAGATAATGGGGCCCAAAGGCTAAATAAGACTACACAGAAAATTTTAACTTATTATTATTATTATTATTATTATTATTATTTTTGTTTTCTAAAATAATGTAAAGTCGTAATTTTTCATTTTCATTTTCTTTATTTTTTCTTGGAGAATGGGGGCTATTACTTTTTAGAAATTAAAGTAATGTTATTTAACACCATATATGTTAAAATGTTAATTTCAGTGGATGTTTGGTCCCCATTTTTTAGGAAGAATTAGTTTTTGAATAGTGACTGATGGAAGAATTTGTGGTGAAAAAGTAATGAAAATTTTTAGATTTGTGTGTAATATTATCTTATTTGGAGAATATGTGGTTGAAAATGAGTGCAGTAGAAAAATAAATGGGAAAAAAAGAGAAAGAATGTGGCTCAAACATGGGCTAAATGTCACCATGTGTCATTAAATGAAAAATATAATTAAATAAATTAAATAATTTCACATTTAATTGAATCTATCACATACTGTTGTATAGATTGGTGCTCTGGCATTGTGATAGATATCATTATTCTATTGTTTAACATCCTAGAGAGAAATTCATAGTAACCACTTCCTATACTGGATTAGACACTAAAATATATCAGATGTTAACCTTTTTTTTTTTCTTTTTTAAAGAGATGTTGAGCCATACAAGCTATCAGGGTTTTCCCATTTATCTGTTTTTATATTTTCTTGGAGAATGGTGGGTTGTTAATTCTGTTTACATCATAGAAAGCTATCTTCAGCACTGAATCTAGACCAGACTGGAGAGTACAATACCTAACATTTGAACTTTTATTTCTTTCTGAATACTATAATGTCTATTAGGGTTTTTCCATTTTCCTTTTTTTATTTTTTCATTTGTATGTTTTGGTGCTTCTCTTTACTTTCTATAGAGAGATTCATCCTTAGCGAACAATTAGATGAGACTCGATAACACAATACGTATCTTCTTCTTTGTAAATAATATAATGTAGAGACTCTACTAAACAAGCTAATAGGTTATTCCATTTTCATTTATTCTTTTTTCATATTTATTGGAGAATGTGTGCTGGTGCTTCTCTTTTACACTCTACATATAGAAATGATTGAAGAGAGAGAGAGAGAGAGAGAGATGAGTATATTATGAGGAAAGATCATGAGGGAAAAAGAAAAAAACGTGACAGCAAAAAAGCCATGGTAGTGTAGAGGGAGAAAAAGAAGAGAGATATTAAAGAAAAGTTCGGTCAAATTAGGCCTCGAACTACTACTCAATTCCATCATCAGTTTCGAGTTATCTTTATCGAAACTCTACCGTTCTCACTTTCTTTGGTTTTGAGCCCTCTATCCCACCATCTCTTTCATAATTATAATCTGATTTTTCCAAAATTAATCCATTTAAGTACTTATGTTTTCTTACTTATATCATATTACTTTGACAGAATAAAGTAAAAATGGACGTCCTCGGGAGTTCCATCCATGCAACTTAACTCGGCCATCGATTTCTGCTTCGGATACTGTCCACTTTATCCTCATCTGGCACACACGAGTGGACACCACTCTCCCTGCATTAAATATTTTACTATAATTATATAACCAATCAATGAAATAATAATAATAATTCTCTCTTTTTTCATAAAGTGAGAGTTAAAATTTTTTTTCCTTTTACAATAATTAGACTACAGAATTTTTAACAATTAATCAGTATAGGCACTTGATGAAGTGATTCACTTTCCGAAATTTCAAGTAACGTAATTTTCTATTCAGAATTAAAGTTGAAATATATATAATCGCTTCATTGCTGCCAAACTATTGAAATCGTTTCCAAGTCGCATAATATTCATTTTCGTAGATCTTTAGCGTTCGAATTAAATTAAACTGCTTATATCGAATTAATCGATCATTCTAATTAAGATAAAATGATAATGCTAATAGTTTGTAACTTAAATGGCACACATTTGACTTGTCTTATCCAAGCTAAAGGCACAAGTACAAAAAGAGAATATTCAAAATATAGAAAAAAAAGAAACAATTTTTATTTGTACAGTGAAGGGGATATTATTGAAAGGGAGACATGGCCCCCCTATTGATTCTAAGATAAGAATAATTAAGGTTTATGTGGGACCAGTTTAAATATAAAAATGCACGAAATATTCCATTTGTAACTGGAAAGAAATATTCAATCTTTATTGAGTCAACAATCAAGGCTCAAATGTTTGACCATCTTTTGTTTGCCAACTTGGCATATTTGGGCATACATTGCTTATTCAAGGGGCTTTCTTTACTTCAAAGATAATTGCTCGTTGGAAAAGCAATCTCCTATTTCTAATAAAAATTCAAATTTAGTCACTAACAAAAAAAAAAAAAAATCATTGTCATTGTGTATGAAATCTTAACTGATTCGAAAATAAATCCTCAACTATCAGAATTTATCGACAGATGATTACTATTGTCATAGTAAGTTGGATAAAAGAAGGACATGTTGAAATTGGTGTATATACACTTCCCCAATTCAAGAATCCATAAAAAGCATCGTCTTTATCAAATTTCACAGTATTTCCCATCTTTGAATATATTCTCTCTAATTTCCTTTAGTTTAATTTTGTGGGATAGAAGAAAGAAGCCTCGATTTTTGAGTCACTTACCAGTATATAAACCAAGCTCATGTCATTACTAAAAAATCACAAGTTCTTGTCTACACATTATATTCTCCTGCTGCTGCAATTCCACACTGTCCAAAACCCACTAAAATTTCCGTGCTTTCTTAAGGTGAGGGTTTATATATTCTAATATGTAGTATTTTCCAGCCATGCATCTCGTTTCTCACTCGGCCATTTATGGTAAGACGTGTTCGTGTTCGTCATGCGATGCTACAAAGTACAATGCATGTTAAACAAAATATTATTATAGTCACTCAAATCGCTTTTTCTAGTTTGTTCGCTCAATTAAGTGGACAAATAATACGGTTAAGTACTATTCAATTCTATCTCGATGTAACAGGCATTATACATTGGTGTATTTTGAAGCAGGGAAAAATGAACAGGCCAGGAGATTGGAACTGCAGGTCATGCCAGCATCTGAATTTCCAGAGGAGGGACTCGTGCCAGCGATGCGGAGACCCCAGGCCCGGCGAAAGAGGTGATTATGGAAGTTTTGGCAGCGGAAGAGGCGCCATGTCCTTCGGCTTCACCGGCCCAGACGTAAGACCCGGTGACTGGTACTGCACCGTTAGCAACTGCGGCGCCCACAACTTTGCCAGCCGCTCCAGCTGCTTCAAGTGTGGGGCGGTCAAGGATGATTGCTCGGGCGGCGGTGGCGGTGGCAGTGGAGGATTTGATAGTGAAATGTCTCGAGCTCGAGGGTTCGGATTAGGGGGCAGCAGCCGCTCCGGATGGAAATCTGGTGACTGGATTTGTGCCAGGTAAAAATTCCAGACAATCGAAGGCCAATATAAATTGATGTTAATGTTAAATCTTGTTTGTTTTAGTCTACTGTCGATATGCTTCTAGATTTGACATGGTCGAGTTCTTGCATTGTTTCATAAGACAATTTAACATTTCTTTTTCAATTTTGTCGTGCAAATATTGGAACTGAACAGGTCAGGGTGCAATGAACATAACTTTGCAAGCAGGATGGAATGCTTCAGGTGCAATGCACCAAGGGAATCCGGTAGCAAGTTTTCCTTCTAAAAGCTTGCATTGAGATTCTCTATTTTTGGGTAAAGTCGTATCTCCACTACAAGATTTTCCATGCATTTGTTGATAAAATACACAAGTTCATAACTGTTAGTCGATTCAAATTTCAGGTTCGAAGTTGATTAACAGAGAATCAAGAGCGGATGAATTTTATTTTTTTTGGCACTTCCACTTTTCTGTTTTTCGATTTTTTATATTTAATTTAGGAAGTTTAGGTCAATTATGATTGCAAGTAGAGCTTAGTCCTTCGTTTTGTGAGCTTTATTAGTAGCTAGTATGAGATATATCCTTGTATTTCTTTTTGTTTTAATCTAATTAATATCAATGTCTTTCGCAAAAAAAAATTATTTTAGTGTCATTGTTTAATGGTATAGCCGTCACAAAATTTTACAGACTCCCGTTATTGTGAAATGATTGTTCTGTGGTGGTATATAACACGAGGACATATGTACGTCTTTCTTTACAATTGTATATGAGACGCTAACATATAATCCCCCGTCTCATCCATATAGGTCGACTTTCTTTATTTTCTTGTGTCATTTATATAGTCCCGTTTCTTTATCGAGAATGTATTTATTTTGTTCCTTTACTAAGGTACCCCTATTCAATTTGCAAAGTCATAACCAATTTCCCCCCCTTAATCTTGAAATTGTATGGATTTTAGTTTGCATACTTCTTGAAATCATCCAAATACATACACACATTTTCCACTTCTTCTTGGAAACATGGACAAAATAATTTAATCACCATTATTTACTACTAGTTGTTTATAATTAAATAAGGGTAAATGAGGAAAATTCTTTGCAAAAATTGTTTTTTCAGCAACATTAAACAAATTTTCTCAATTCATGTGAAAAATAAAACCAGCTTATATAAATGGGACATATGAAATAATATAATTAATGTTTAGCCAAATAATAATTGTCACAATATTTGCTTTAGTGCTCAGCAAGTTGTTGATATATAGCGAAAAATTTGTGATATATAACTATTCAAGAATATTAAAGTTGTCAAATTTGTGATATATAACTATTCAAGAATATTAAGACCATATTTTTGAAGAACGAAAAACTCTGCAGTTAATATATCCGTTTGTCACATAATGCATCAACAATCAATTTGTTGCTAAGGTTTCTACTTGGTGACAATATTGTTAGGAAATATAGAGACCTAACAAATATTAATTACAAGATGTTCTCCTATAAATTATGTGTCTATTTTTGCAGTCTTCCGTTTTGATAAGTGCGTTTTACACACATCTTTTGGGCTACAAACATGAACAATTATTGATAAATAAGTTGAAATACAACTTAATTCTATGAAATTTATGTTTAGCACGACAATGTGATGAATGTTGCGGAAAATATGAGAAACAAAGTGAAAAAAGACTAAAACAAAATAAAACCAAAGTTCACGGACTAAGAAGCAAATAATCGAAAGATGACCCGGATGAGGAATTGAACAGGTGGAGATGGTTAGGTCGAATTGAGCTAAGAAATGAAGTATTGTTTGAAGAAGAAGTGGGAAACGAGGTCGAGAAATGTGGAACGGAGTTCAAGGACCAAATATCAACATTTTGGAAGAGATATAAGCTATGCAGTCGCATAGCTTAAATCCTATGCGATCGCATAGGTGCCTTCAGTCCATGGAGACTTTCATGAGAACTATGCATCGCATATGGGTTCACTATGTGGTTGCATAGTTGATTTTTGATACAAGAATTCTGGTTTCCTTATTCGAGCCAAATACTTTTGGAAATAAATCTTGGAATGTGTATTTAAACCCGAGGGCCGTCTAGAACACGGGGGAGGAGATTGATAAGGGTTTTGAGAGAAGAAACAAGGCAAGAACGAGAAGAGCAACACTATGAGAGAAGATTAAACTCAAGAATCAAATTGGTGATATCGTTCTTCATTTATTTTTTTGATTTTCTTCGTTCCACCATGCTAGGCTAGGTTAATTCTGTACTAGGGCTAGATGAACTATGTAGTATGATTCTTAAATTTTAGTTTACAATTTTTGACATCAAAAACACGTTTTGGATAATTGAATGGTTTATATGATTTTTTTTCTCCATAATTATTGTATACGTAATTGTGTGAGTTTGGTAGCGTATCTCATGCATTCGAAAGAAGTGGAATATGTTCGACGTAGTATAAATCATCATAGGGTCCGATAGGGAGTATAAATATACCGCTATGCCTTATGTGAATCTTTAAGTGCTCACAAAAATTTGTGCATTCTCGTTTGTTTGCATCCGTCATAGAAATATAGTCGAATCACATCTTGGAATAAGTTTAACTTTACTCGAGAGAGACCGCTAAATAATTTAGGAACATTGATTCTTTAATATTTCAATCGTGTGTCAAAGTGTATAACTTGGGTTAAAGAAGATTATTACATAGGGAT